CTCTCTCTCTCTCTCTCTCTCTCTCTCTCTCTCTCTCTCTCTCTCTCTCTCTCTCTCTCTCTCTCTCTCTCTCTCTCTCTCCGTGGGCAAAGGAGCTTCTGACAGCCAAGAAAGTGGCACTTCTGACAGCCAAGAATGTGGCGCGGCCAAGAAAGTGGAAAAATAAGAAAGCCACTCACAAAGGTCTAGCTGCACTACTGAGGTCACGGAGACAAAAAAGAAAGGGGTTGTATTTGTCCATGGTCTAGTGGAAGATTCATTCACATTTTGCACATTTGCTGCGGAGTGGAGCAAGGGCCCAAGTAGGGGAAAGGAATGAAACTCAACCCAGAACATGGAAAGGTATGTTGCTACTTTACTTTTACCTTTTTGCCAAGGCTGTGAGGCCCCCAACCGTGGTCCAGAACTGGACCCAACCCCCTTGTGCAGGCAAAGTTGGTCTAGTTCACTCGAACATAACGCATATGCGTTGTAAACGAATACAACGCACGGTATGCGTTGTACTCGTTTACAACGCATATGCCTTATGTTCGGGGGAAGACGGTAGTACCTTTCCCAGCTATTTTCCTAGAGAGTCACGGCGCGTATACATCTGCGCCTTTCGGGAAGTACCAGGGTGTCGCTTCGCCGGATATCCATCCAGGCAAAATGGGTCGCATGTGGGCCCGTTTTACCTGGATGGATATCCAGTTTTCCCTAAAGATCTGGCCGTAAACGAGCCGCATATTTGTTTTTCAAGAGGGGAAAGGTACTGGTGGCTTAAACCACCAGGACTTGGCCCAACTATCGGCCGCGGGAGAAAATGGAGTAGAAACGTTTCTAGTCGGATGAATTTGGGCGCTCCTGTAGTAGCCCGTATGTTTCCTAAAATCGTGGCGCGGGCACGACTCTAGGAAGTACTGGTGGTTTAAACAGGCAGGGAGTGAGTGAGGGGCTCGTTAGACACTCCTCGGGGCGTCCTCGGGCTCCGAGGGGAAATCCTCGGGGCAGCCCGAGGATTTTCCCGCATTCGTTCCACTCGTCCCTCGGGACAATCCCCGAGGATGCTCCGAGGACTGGCCGCGGGGAGTCGTATAATGTTATACGCGGCCGCGGGATGAGTGTTTGGGCGGTGGTCCTTCGTGTGGTGTCCGTCTGGCTGGACTTGGTCCACCGTGTATGGGCGGCGAATTTGAAAAGGGACTGCCACCGCAGAGGGAAAAGGAAAATTGCGCGCGCGCGCGTGTGATTTCAAAATTCGAAATTTGAATCGGCCAAGCGTGGCGTCTGGTGCGGCGGGGCGGGGAGATGCGTGCGTGTTACGGCCCCATCGGGGAAGCACAGGGGTGTTGCAGTGGGCATCATGCGGAAACGGCCAACGGCCATTTGGGCGTCAGCACAGACGTCGCCACGTATTAGAAGACGTGACGCACCCTGGTTACGACAGCAGCAGTGAGCGCCACCGCCGTCTTGCGTGTTTGCTTTCGCGCATTCTGCCCCGAACGCCATCTCCGCGAACTTCTTCATTGCCAGTGCCCGTTGGTGGCGGCCTTGTGTGGTCGTTTGGGCGACTTCTGGCGGCATGGATGAGTGCGATGTCTTCCGTGGTCGATATGCTTTCGGTCGGTGGCGGGGATGAGGGCGGGCCAAAGTTGTCCGGTTTGGAGAGGGCTGCAGTGACGTTTGCCGTCGCCGCCGTCATCATGCATTGCGAGACGGAGGTCGAAGGCGAACGACGGTGGGCACGGCTACGCGCTCGAAGAAGGAAGGCGATGCAGCCGCCGACGTGTGAAGTGTTGGATAGCGTCGCTATCTGTGACGCCGTCTTTGAGGTATGCTGCGCCCTAGGGTGTGGGGGACTGCCTAGGGCGACCCCGAGTTGGTGGGTGAAACGAAGGACGGGGGGGACCTGGGAGGATCTTCGGCCTGCAGACGACGCCACTGAAGACTACTTCCGTGACAAATTATGGATGTCTCCATGTGTCTTCCGTGAGATCGTTGAGAACTTGACGCCGATTCTCGAGCGACGTGTGACGTTCTACAGAGAGCCTTTGCAGCGAGACCACATCGTCGCCTACGCGCTTTACAGATGGGCGTCTGGCGAGACATACGAGAGCAGCACCTGCAGCTTTGGAATTGGCAGGGCTTCGGGTTTGGTGGCCGTCCGGGACGTTACARYTGCGCTGCTTTCGGTGWACAGGGAGAAGGTGGYGTGGCCGACTGGGGTGCGGAAGGCGGTTGTTCTGCGTGCTTTTGCGGACAAGGGTTTCCCGAACTGTCATGGGTGCATCGATTGCACCCATATCTACATCGACAAGCCGGCGAACGCGGCTCCAGAAGACTACTACGACCGCAAGAGACGATTCTCCGTCGTCGCTCAAGTTGTGGTGGATTTGGACTTGCGCATCCTCGATGTGTTCGTGGGTTATCCGGGAAGCTGCCACAACGTCAGGGTCATCCATTTGTCCAGTCTTTGGTCGCGTGCGGCGGCGGGCGAGTTGTTCACAGGGCCTCCTGTGTTGCTGTCGTTCCAAGTGCAGACCAATGGTTATCTGCTGGCCGACAATGGTTACCCGCCAAGCGAATGGATGGTTGTCCCCTATGGCGGCACGGCGCAGACTCCGTTCGAGGCCCGTTTCGACAACAAACAGAAGACGGCGAGGGGGGCGGTGGACAGGGCCTTCGGAAGACTGAAGGGAATGTGGCGGTTGTTCCTTGGGTCGCACAAGACAAACATGGAGACCTTGCCGCAGCAGTTCGTGGTCGTCTGCATCTTGCACAACATCCTAATCGACGCAGGGATCCCTTTCTATGAGAACTTGTTGTGGGAGGTGGACGCCAACGGAGTTCGCCGTCGAGTGGATCTTGGGATCCAGCGCCGCCCCAGGCCTTTGTGCATGGAAACTTCTACGGGGGAAACGGTCATGCTGCGTGAAGCGCTGGCGGAGCGAATGATGCAGCGATGAGGGATGTCGGAGGCGCGGAGCGGAAGTAGATGTAAGTTGCATACGTGGAAGGGTGTTTGACGGCGGCAGTAGAAGGAAGCAGTGTGCGGAGAGACGAAGGAGAGTAGATCGTGTGATGCCGTCGTAGTGATCGTCGTCATTGTCGGACGAAGACCGGAGAACGTCTGTGTAGTCTAGTACTCCCCCTCCAGTGTGTCCTGCACATTCAGATAGTTGACGAGCGTTTTTTCTTTTTGTTTTCTTTCGATTCGTGCTTTCACATTGACGCGTTGATAGTGCTTTATCCCCAGTTTATGCGCAAGGCATAGGGCGGCAGATGTGGTGGTGGCGGCCGATCACTGTTGTCTGTGAACCGCATGGATGCGGGATTCGGGTCTGTGGTGTGCGACAGACGCATGCATGCGTCCGGGTTCCTTTTCCCCGATTTCCGAAGCGCAGTACTGCGCACRGTGTACTTTTTATTTGTTCACAAGGGTTTGATGATTATTGTTTTATGCACGCTTTCAGTTTTATTGCTTGTCGTCGACTATTCTCTTCCCTTTCATGTTCCCTGCGTGCGGAGATGAGGGCGCACTTACGTGCGCGATGATGTGAATGAGTGCAAGCCATTGATGATAGCATTCATTTGACTTCACATATGTCCATGGTCCAAATGTTGGAGTGCATATGCTCTGTTGCCAATTATTCGTCTTCATCTTCGTGAAAGTGTTGTGAATGGTTGAACGATGAGTGCGCGACAAAGAAGGTCACTAACTGAAAACGTCAATCTCTCACGCAGAATTCATTCACCTTATCACCCACAACTTTACATGGAAGCTTTGCAATCCAAAAGAACAAACATAAGAAAACACGTCTGCGATATAAAACGAATGTTCGACATAGCACACGATATCAAATTAACATCAATGATGCGCATAGACATGATGGACATTAATGACACCACACATTCGACGATGAGTGGCCCCTTGAATGAAAAGACGTGCATGTCGACTACACTTTGCTGTCAGCTAGATGAAACCGAGCTCTCACCCATACTCGGCAACCGCTTTGACAACAGGAAACGACTCGACGCAAAGGAAGTAGAAGACAGTCTACGAAACTCGCGCAACCGCTATTCACACGCCATGCCAACTCCTGTCCCCAACATCGTCGATGACATCGTCGTCGTCGCCACCATCGTCGTCATCATCATCGTCGTCATCATCATCCTCTTTAATCGTGAACATCGTCATCATCATCATCATCATCATTGTCATCATCACCATCATCATCATCACTATCATCATCATCACCATCATCATCGTCACCGTCATCATCGTCACCGTCATCATCACGATCGTCAGCATCATCATCAACGTCGTCTACATCATCATCGTTGTCGTCACCGTCATCATCGTCGTCACGGTCATCATCATCATCATGAACGTCCTCGTCGTCGACATCATCGTCGTCATCAGCAGCAGCGGCGGGCGGCTTACCCATTTTCTCCGTAGTCGTCCACAGCGCCTCCCGTCACGATTCCCCGCCTTCGTCCTTCTCCTCGTCTTCATCATCAATCTCCGGAGGTCCGGTGCCTAACCAATCTAGTCGTCTGGCGAGCTCAAGAGACGTCAACGTGGCGTCGTTGTGGAACGACACCCCACACGAAACCCAGTCGGGGATGTACACCGGAGGGTCGACCAACGTCATGGGGGGCTTCCCCATTTTCTCCGTTACTGCATTGACACACTGCAGAACATGGCGGCGCGCGTCGAACGAGCGATGCAATGATGCAATGAGCGTCGGTTTCGCAATGAGCTCCACGAGATGGGACGCCTCATAATGCGAACGGAGATTATCTCCCGCCATCCGCATGATCCACATGGCGGCAGACAGCAAAAGGCGCATGCAGTCTGCTACGTTCCTCAGCCTCTCGTACGATATCCGCCCGCCGTCTACCCCCTCCCCCGTGTCAACAGCATTCGTGAAAGCTCCCACCAGACGTTGCGTTGTGGACTCTTGATACGACGCCATTTCGTCATCCTCGTGCCTGTCGTGTATGACGCCACCTACGTACCAGATGGGGAGCTTCATATGAAGCTCCAAGGTGTTATAGACGACCGCCGGACTCACACATACCCGCCAGTCCTCTCCAAACCAGATGGCGCGGGCGAGGTCTGTGGCGACGTGGTTCAGCACATAGCCGTACGAGCAGTGGTACCCGCGCGCGCGATTGGGGGACTTGAAGATCCACCCATGGATGATGCGCAACGCTATGGTCTGCACCCTCGAAGCCCTCTCCTTCGCGGCCCCCAACTCCGATGAGTCTTCCAGCTTCTGCTGAGGGATCGTGGCGTTCGGGAGGACAACGCTTTTCCTGATCTCCGGCGGTTTCACACCCTTCGCGATGGCGATGAGGTGCAGGCGCGTCTCCTGGATGATCTTGAACATCCCATGCCCCTCCGTCTCGTTCCAGAAACGCAGATCGTCTACCCACAGTTTCGCTTTCGCCTCCAGAGCCGCCATGTTTCCGGATCGCCTCTGCCTGTTAATGAGGGGATCGTCGTCATCAGCATCATCACGACCGTCGCCACCGCCCCCCCTCGCGCCTGCCGTCGATGTACCAACGACGGCTCCCACCGCTGCGGCTTCCTTTGCGGGAATGCGCGTCACAAGCTGTCCCCTGACTGCCGCATTCACCCCTGCCCCTTCATCCCTTCTCGCCTGTCCCGCCGTGGGCGTTGCTGGGTTTGAAGGCGCCCGCATTGGCGGGTGTTTACCTACGTCCTGGGCGGCCTGCACGTCCTTCGACGGCACGGCGCCGCGCATGGCAGGCGTCGTTGGCTGGCCACGCTCCTCCCTGGTAGCAACACCGCCTCCCACTTCGCCGGCCGCCTCATCCTTGCCTCGCGCAACCCCGTGACCCCCATCTTTACCACCGTCGACGTCTTCCTCTCCGCTCACCATTCTCGCGTTCGACACGTCACGCAAGGTCCCTTTCCTCCCATGAAACGTGTCCGCCTCCGATTCGAAATCGTCGTCCTGTCCGCTGCTGGCCTCTTCAACCCACTCTTCCCGCGCGGACCTCCTGATCACCAGAGCACCGCCGCTTGATGCCTTGAGCTTCTTCGCCTGATGCCTCCCCCGCTTCACGACGCCAGCAGCTTCCGTTTTCTGGGAGTCCCTCTCCCTTTTCCCCTTGCCAGAGTTGCGAGTATTCGTCATCGTGGAGAAGACAGACTGCGATGACGAGAAGAAGGAAGGGCGAGAACGATGGCGGCGAGGGAAAGCCTGCGCAGGTGAAGTCGAAGACAGTTTACGACGTCTGGCGAAAACGGCGTCTGGCGAGAGAGATGGCGGCGAGACACACACTGCGCGAACAGAAGTCCCAACGTGGAGATGACGTCTGGCGAGATAGATGGCGGCGACACACACAGTGCGCGAACAAGAGTCCCAACGTGGATATGACGTCTGGCGAGATAGATGGCGGCGAGACGAACAGTGCGCGAACAGGAGCCCCAACGTGAAGATGACGTCTGGCGAGATAGATGGCGGCGAGACGAACAGTGCGCGAACAGGAGCCCCAACGTGAAGATGACGTCTGTCGAGATAGATGGCGGCGAGACGAACAGTGCGCGAACAGGAGTCCCAACGTGAAGATGACGTCTGGCGCGAGAGATGGCGGCGGGACACACACTGCGCGAAAAGGAACGTTGTCGTGGTGTGAAGATGACATTGGGACTGCGCGATGGCGGCGACAAAGGCAGTGCGCGACGAGGAGCCGAACGCGAAGATGTCGTCTGCCCACCGCCTGCGTGGACAGGTCATATCGTGTTCGTGGCAAATGTTCGTCACGCACCGGCAACAGTGCACAGGTTGGCTACAAGGGCGAACGGAATGGCTAGAGGGACCATTCCATTTGCAACCCCCTTTTCCGACACACGGACGGTCGGTATGCGGCATTCCGCCAATCAGACCCCCCCAAAAAAAACGAACACTGCATGTGTCGCCACCCAAAAAAAAAAAAAAAAAGCAGTGAAGGGACTGGCCGTGTCATAGGAGTCTGAAACGCACGCCCGAAAAAAAAAAAAAAAAAAAAAAAAAAAAAAAAAAAAAAAAAAAAGTAAAGGAAAGTCCAACATACAAATTGAATTTCAAACTTCGATACTTTTTCAAGGGAGATGTTAAATGACGTGACATAAACAGCAACATCGTTGATTAAAGAAATGTTCATTCAATACCACACAATAAACGAAATACGTGGTGCCCAGAGACACATGTTTACTGCAAGGTAAGCAAATATCATGCAATGAAGAGAGCCAAGAAAACGTCCACATCATAACAGCCTACCATATTGCAAATCAAAGTTCTCTCTCCCTCTCTCCCTCTCTCTCTCTCTCTCTCTCTCTCTCTCTCTAACAAACTAGTACACAGAGGACAAGGGAACACATACATTGAACAAGTGCATCGTCGGTGACAAAAACTGGAAGCCAAATTCGGCAATGGGAGCCAACAATAACAAATTTCCAACTCTCTCTCTCTCTCTATGTATGCACTTCGCAAACTGAAGAAATGAATCAAACGGTCGTCCAAGAACCTATACCCGCCAAGTTCATCATCGCAGTGTGGTCGGATCACCCGACCACCTCCCGATTGCGAGCACACTACAACTACGGCCGAAGCGATGAACAAATCAGTACAAAAACAAGGGCAATCCGCACTCCACAATGAACAATGAAATAAATCCACGGAGAAGACGGACAGACCGACAGATGTACGCACACGACAGGCAATCTGCAACTACTCTACAGACACAAACCGAAAACAAACCCATGGCACAAAATGACCTACGAGTGCGAATGAACTCCATCCGACTTAAGTACACGATAGGAGTGTCGCAACAGAGTGGCATCCATAGCCGAAAAATGCCCTGTGCCTGACGTTCCCCTCTACCGCTCTCGTATAGCCTTCGCTATTTCCATCAGCGCCTGACACATAAGCTTGCTAACTTCATTGGACGCAGCGCAGTGTTGCTTCTGGACCTCCACCTCCGCTTCGATAGCCTCACACTGCCAAATTTGAATGGAGCATTGCCTATTGCTCGCGCTCTCCATCGCCTCGCATTGCCTCATGCTCGCACTCTCCATCGTCGACGCCATCAACGCCCCATGCTTCTCCATGCACTCGCTTAAGGCCTCGAATGTCTGCTGCCGCACGTTTTTCCTCTTCCCGAAACCGGCCGGACTTCCAGTCGTCTGTGAGGCCCCACGCGCTGAGCTGTCGTCTTCGTCGTTGCCATCTCTAGCGGCATCCCCACCACCCACAGACTCCGGAGTCGCCGACTGAGCAGATGGGAGTTGCACACCTCCTGCGCCACCGGTGTCTGCAACATTGCTCGGGCTGATAGTGTGGCTCCTCTCCTTCGCCCCTTTGATCTCCTCATAGACGGTCCGATCCATGTTGAAGCTGAATCCTTTCTCTGCCCTCTGCTGACTCGTCAACTGGAAGAAGTCCTCCTTCCCCGACATGCCCATGAAAGTGTGGATCTTTTTGAACTGTTGCATGAGATTATCCCATTTCTTCCCGCATTTGTCTGCCGGCCTGTCAACACCGACCTTGAGCAACCTCTCTCGGACGTCCAACCATTTCCACTCCCTCGACCGCATCCGAGCGAATGCGTGCCCCGCCGCTTGCAGCTGGGCGTCCTGATCCCGCTTCGCCCTTATGAGGGCCACCATGTGATCCACAGACCAGTAATTCCGGCCACCCTCCCCATCCCCCTCACCTTCCGCATCACCAGAGGCCGCCGACGGCCTCTTCCGCCTCCGCCCTGCATTCGTCGAAGCCCTGCCTCTGCTGCCCCTGCCACCCATGTTCGACGCACGCAACGGGAACACGTCGCCGCTGTCGTCCTCCTCAGCGTCGCACTCAACTTCGTCACCGTCTGTCCAGACGTCGCCCCCCCCGCCAACCGCGTCTGCTTGCCCGGCCCGCTCGCCCACGCGTAATCGCTGCACACCTTGCGTTATGGACTCTTCTTGCTGCCGCCGCAACACCTGCCTCGACTCCTTCCATACCCGCCTGCCATCTCCACGCGCGCCCTCGAAAGGGAAGTCTTCGGCACTCACACCCCGTTCAACTGGACGAGGAACGCTGTCGCGGCCCCTGGAGAACGCAGGAGGGGGGTTCATCCACTCAGGGCGACCAGCGGTGGTGCGTGGAATTGACGGGCCAGAAGTCGCCTGCACTCGAGGCCGCTCCCTCGTCTTCTCGGAAGTCTCCTGACGCGTAGAACCACCCCTTGTGCCCCTGCCGACCAATGTCACCTGCCCCGCGTCGTCGTCGGGATGAGGGTTCATGAGCACAGTGCGCGTGGCAGAAGATGGGCTCCCGCTCCGCAGGCCAAATGTGAGATCCACAGGGGGGAGGCGTTCCTCTTCCTGGGCACCTTCGTGGAGGAGGGAAGTGAACGACTGCCTGTACTTCGCTCCGCGCCCATCAAACAACTGGCTACCCGTCCATTCCTGGGTCGACCCGCTACCCAGCGGAACTGTGTTCGACACGTCCACGTCCGCCTCCCCCTCGTCCGAATCGGGCAGAGGCTGCATGTGAGGCGGGAGTCCTTCGTACGTCGACGGACCTGCCGCCCTTTTGTCTACACCGGTGCAGATCGCAGGCCGGTGGCTGGGATAAGTGTCCGACAACGTGGCAAGATTTGGCCGCTGCCCGTCCATGGCCACGCTCTTCCTCACCCCTCGTTTCCTGCGAATACGTGAAGGCAACCTCCCCAATATGCACACCTGAACAAAGACGACAACTACAAGCAGAATCATGACGAGGAGGACCAGCGGCAGCTTGCGGAGCACGTCGGCCATGTAACACAACCGTTCTCGCAAGGGCAACTAACGACGACAACGCACGACAACGTAACGTCTACCCAGACGGCGGCAAACAGCAGACGACAAGCACACGACTGCCGACGCGCTCTGCCGCTTTACATTGCGGACCACTGCGCGCGGTGACGGACGTGCGCCGCTGTCATTTTCGAAACGGCTGGCCGTTGGAGGCCTTCCCGTTTCCCGCCGGCGCTGGTGAGGGGCC